TATCTCTATTGTGCTCATTGGCCACGTTCTCTACAAAAGCAAAAGGACATCACCCAATTGAAATACCTAATAAACAAACAATTGCCAACAGTCCAATCATTGTTCTCTGGCAAAACTTCAAATCTAGTTTAACTTTCTTTTCTTGTTACAATCAGTAAACACTTTTCTATTTTTTTCTTTCATTTCTAAGTCCACTTAAAAGAAAAACTATATATTATAAATGCAGCTTTTGTTAACAATTCATAATAATCACAGGATGTACCAAAACGTTTAAAAACCACACATACCAGTAAAGAAGGCATACATCTACACATCTTTTTACTGTTTTGAGAAAAAAAGTCCAGGATAATTTCCTCATTTTTATACAATGTCTCTTAAAATATATTGTGCATTTTAATTCAAAACTGCATTTTATTAAGAGAAAAAGAAGGAACAGGTTACAAAACAGGAAATGAAAGTGATGGCATGTGATGTATCAATGCATTTTGCTGCCATAATGTTACAGTTTCCAGCAGTGCAGACCATAGAGTACTACAAGGCTTCACCATCTATAAACCCGTCTCTACCCAGCTCCCAACCAGGTGAATGCTGCTACAAAATAACATGAACACTTGTGAAAGATTCAGGGCTGCTATAATATTTGTATTCAGTTTTGCATCAAATAAAAACTACCATTTCTGTGTTCAGTCCTTTGCCAGATACCACTTTCAATTAAATTTTAAAAAAGTATGCCATTTGTCAACATAGGTCCTTCATAAACTACTATGTTAATTCATATCCTTAAGATTTAGTCAGGCATTTACGGACACATCCAAATGGATACAGTGCTATGAAAAAAGACAGACAGGTTTCGTCAGGACTTAGTTAAGAAGTCAAATAAGATGCTTAATTTACATATTTGCAAATTATTCTGGTGTAGACAAACTAAGGAATCCAATTTTCCTTGGCAAGCACCTGAAAAGCGTATGTATAAATAGCAGTGCCTTCATTATGTAATTGGCGTGTTGAATTCAAAGATAGCTACATGCAAACATCTTGTTTACATGGCCACCAAATTAATTCTTGTATCGATTTCATAAGGTTATTGATCATTCTTTAATCTCCTGGAATGTATACATCATCTAATCAGAATGTACTAGTTAGTAGGTTATATTGACATTTGGTAATTTCTGAGAAATGTACTCCACTGTTATAAGTGTGCCCCATCATCGTAAATGTGAAATCACTAGAAAGACAAGCTTAGTATATGTCACATAATATGTCATCACCGTTTAGAATGAGCATCCTTGAATCACTCTACTGGTTTTGTAGAAAAGGGCATGGTTGCAGTTTATATTTCAAAACCAAACTGACCTGGAGATCAGTACCCAGCAAAACGTATACCTGAAGGGGTATATACCTTAGAAGGGGAAATGGAACGCTACACTTTAAAGGGTCTCTGTTTTTTCCTAATACCTAAGACCATGCTCCATGGAATAGAGTCAAGGCAGATCAAAGAAAAGTTGGTGATAAACTTCAGGAAAACTGAAGTATAAACCTATAAAGAAAACAGACATAACATTTGGGGAAAATATTCTCGAAAGTATATTTCATTTGAGATACTGCAGCTGTAAATAAAAATAAGTTTTTGCAGAGTTAAGAGGTGTGTTTTTATATCAACAAGTTTAGTTGCAAACATTTCACAATCCTTAGGACACTGGCATTACCCAGGGTCTTAACTACCGCCACTACCAAACCATGATAGCAAACTAAATAGAAAAATTTTAAAAGGCCAGACATCACACACTGACGACCAATGCACTTTCTGAGTCTTGTTACATATGAATTCTATGTTCACAGCTGAATTCTGACACTCAAAAACCTAACACATTAAAAATCATTAAGAACAGTCAAATAGAAAAAGAGCAATACAAACAAACCAATGACAAGGAAACATCTTTCAAGACTATTGATAAATTGTATTGAATGTAATACAGAGAAAGGCAAAGGGGTTTGTTTAAATGCTTTTGGCCACGGAAGATGCAAACACCAGCCAAACAGGATCTTAGAAGCATTTCCAGGTCTATGAATAACACCATGGGAACACTAAAGCAAACACAGCATATGTTCTCAAATAAAGCAAGGTCATTATAGTCCAATTTTGATATTTACCTCTAACAAATCTTATGCTGAGAGACCAGGGCTTCAGTTTTAAAAAAACCGCAGCCATCATGTGAGTTCAACTTCTGCGTGAGATCACATCAGAACAGTTGAAAATTAACAGCAATATTGAATTCCTTGTTATAAGGAATGACTGCCGTGGGAAATGTTTCCCTGGATGAGGCCTCCTGGAGCCATCTCATTCATGTCTGGTTATGACAAGATGGCAGTGCTGCAAATCCATTGCCGGTACATTCAATGTAAGAAAATCTTTTTTTGTTTTGTTTTCTGTCCATTGAGAGCCCCTGGCTATTAAAACACACTGTTGTAATTGTAAGTTAAACCACAGCTACCAATCAGAAGAAGTATTCTTTCTGATTTTCACTGACTGCATTTTGTATATTAAGCTCACTTTTCAAAACAGCCTCAGCACTGTCTACATTCTCTGACCTTTTTGCCTCATTTCTTTTGTATAACCTTTTCTGCTGATAAATGCGGACAGCTATGGCAGTGATACACAGCAAGATAAAGACCACAACAGCTATCAAACCTAGTGAGAAAAGAGAAAAGAAACACAGAGTCAGAATTTTCATTTGAACAGAAACTGTGCTGACTTCACTGTTTAATAAGTCATAGTAAAATTATTTGCTATGTAAATCAAGCATCTAGTATATATAAATTGGAAATATCAAAACTTCAGGTTATTTCTGGATCGGGCGTTATCATAATATATTGAGTTTACTTCTGAGTTCTATTTACCTTGCGAGTTTACCTCCAGTTACTGTGAAAGCATATTATACTGGATTTATTTAATGCATTTATATTTGATAACAAAGATGGTCTCTAAGACCATGTGGTCACTTCATACTAATACTCGGACAAGTTTTAATTATTTTGAAATTACAGAGTAGCAGTAACACCATAAGATAATTAAACATGTTTTTACACTTAAATATGTAAACATTATAATGAAGTTGATTTTCAATTCTTTGTCCTATGATGAATAGCAGGAATAAGTTATGCATGTGAATAATCCTGAGTAATGAATATTGATACTGATATATAGGTATATTTAGATTATTTCTATATGAGGAATATGGAATTTTTTTTTGAAATATCTGGTTGTCCATGAAAAATTTAAATACTATAATTGTTAGCTGTGCCGGTGGTTATCAACTCTGGCATTACATTAGGTCAAGGTCGTAAATGTGTGATCTGTGAATCCCCGGTGGTCTCTGGGACATTTTGAGGGGGCCCGCAGCGTCAAAACTATTTTCACAATAATACTAAGATGGCTTTTTCATTGAGTTGACATATTCACTGATACCGCAAAACAAGGTTGGGGAAATTTCTCGGGNCCTTCCACACTTGGGAATGGAACTGTGACCTTATATTGGGTAACATGAAAGGCTTCCAGCTCTGAATGAGGCCCAGAGCAAGAAAGAAATCTACAGCGAGTCTAGACAGTAGACATGTGACCGGGACCATACAACCCTGCAGGCCCTACGCTCTCAGTGGCATCATTGGTGGAAAAAGATGCTGTGTGGACTTCACTGGCAGTCACATTGCAGAAATTCCAGGTTTGGGAGCAATGCCATATCATCTACTGTAGAGAAATGCCCACAACAACAAAAATCTCCTGGGATGCTACTGAGCCCTGCTAGAGATGAAGTGCCTCCCATTGGGACACTAAATGTGGGCAAAATTGCCGATCACAAACCGGGGTCTGTCAGACCTACCAAGTCACAAAGGTAGCTGGGCCCAGCAGAAAGCCATCCTTAATTGGTACATCTAGGATCAAGAATTAGCAGGAACAAAGAAGATGCACAAGCCATTAACCCACACCCCTGTGTGGTCCACTACTCGTCCCCCAGCACGTTTCCCTCAGCGTGCACTTAGGGTTGCATGAATGGTCCCTTATTACCAACTGCTGAAGAAGGGAAAAGTATGAACTTGGTGCACAGATGGGCTGATTTAGAAAGTCGGTGCAAGCTGAAAACAGAAGGAGACACCACTACAGTCCCAATCACGGTGGCACAGAAATATGGTCATGAGGAGAAACCTTCCCAAAGAGCAGGACTTTTGAATGGTGCCCCTGGTCATTCACTTTGTGTGAAAGAAATGGCCCACCGTTATAATGTGGACTTACAGGCAGTAATGTGGCCGCCAGTTTGTCTGGACCCAGAAGGAGATTTGGAAGATCAGAGACAAGGAAGCCTGAGGTAGAAGCAAGTGGCGGGGCCTATGGGAGTGGGCATGCAATGTGAAGATGTCTGCCCACCAGAAAGCACATGCCACCATGGAATAAACGCCAAACAACCGAGCAGACAGAAAGACTTAGCGAGATGGTGTCAAACAACCTCAATCATTGGCCACTGAAGTACACGTACAGTGGGTGCACGAACAGAGTGGCCATGGAGGCAGGAATGGGAGCAGTGCATCCTCAAGCAGCACGAGCTCCCAGCCCTTAGGACTGATGTAGCCACTGCCACTCATGAAGATTCCCATGGGCAGCAGCTCTCCTTCTCCAAAATGGTTCCCCTCTACAGGACACCAAGTCTGTGGCAAGCTGGCTACATCAGCTCTTTTCTACCCTGGAAGGGACGGAGATTACTTTTGATTACAAGCATTACTTATCTCAGCTATAGGTTGTCTTTAGTGCCTGCAAGGCATCTGCCAACACCACCTTTTGAGAGCCTACTAGAACCTCTGAGGGTGTGGCTGGGCCAGTATGTCTCATGGTACGTGCTCGCTCCCACACATCTTCACTGTAATGTGCATCTTTGGCTGATGTGATGCAATGTTGGAGGCTATCTCAGGGGTCATTGTCCCTGAATAGCAGTAACAGATAGAGCTGCTGTCACACTATGGGGACAGGAAGAATATGTTTGGCACACAGATAATCTTTTGACCAATTTTAATGGTAAATGCAAATGGCAGCAGTCACAGCCTGAGAAGGTTACAGTAGGCAAGGGTTAAAACTCTTTGCAGAGCTGTCAGCTGGCGGCGATATGAGTCTGGTATGGTCAGTAGAGGAAGGAGAGGATGAGTACCGGGTGCAGCCAAGAGACCACCTGTAGGGCCGGGGCTGTGGTTTGTTCTATCCTCTTTCCTGGTGGAAGTTTCCCCTGGGAAGTGAGGCTTACCAGATTCCTGAAGGAGCTTCTCCCAGAACGTATATGAAGCAGGTGGAGCTGAGCAACACAGGCCTGGCTCCTCAGGGATGCTGTACTGTGCCACCTAGATCCCTGCTTCGGGACTAAACGATTTATTTTCCCCAGGTGCTGAGAAGGTTTGTCGTCTCTCTTCAGGGACTTCCTCAGCTGAAGAGAGCTGTCTGTCCAAGTTCATGCTAACTTCACCAAGCAGTCAACATCCAAAGTCTGGTTGATACAGAGAATAAAGGCCCAGTCCCCTCATGTCAACTCAGGACATCTTTAAAAGCAGCCATGTCAACAGGCCTGGCTGAGCCCTTGTTGCCACGGCACCACATATCAGCTTCTCCCTCTGCCCCAGCCTGCATCATTCTTTCCCCCAGAGATGTTGATCTCTCTTGTACTCCCTAATCAATGTCCTTCATGGTACTCTCTGTCACAGAGTTTGCTTCCCAGGGACCCCAGCCTGTTACAGCATGTAATTAAGAAACATGGAAATAGCTAAAAACACACAGCTGAAAGAGCTGAAAGTGAGGGGGACAGGATACGGTAATGGAGAGCTATTTTTCCTCATAAGATTTCTCTTATTAGAATTTTAAAATACATGCATGTATTTTTTTAAACAAATTTAGATATAATGTTATAAATAGGTGAAAGGATAAAAAAGTGAAAGCACTGGAGAAGCAATTAGAATTGTGGGTCAAAATTGTTTTCCATCCCATTTTATTTTCATTTGCAAGATTTCAAAGCCAGGTGCCAGGGAACCTATCGATACATCAAAAGTCAAAGTCTCTTACCATATTTTATGAAAACTACTTCACATTCCCTTTCTCCTTATTTCGTTTCTTTCTTGTACACATGTATGTCCTCACTCACATGCATCTCCAACACACAGTTGGCTTCTGAACTTTTTCTTCCCAGTTACCACTCTCCATCTTCCAAACTTTGGAAAAGCAGATGACAAGCAGGTCATACTGAATGTATTTGGTTGAGTCATCATTTACCTGATACATGGATGGGCGAGTCCAACAGTCAACTGAACACATGTGGATATCAGATGTGTTGCCTTTCTTCTACCATAAGGCAAACGTTTGATGACTCAGTTGGATCTAACTCATATTGTGTGTTTCACAAAGACTATGTAAAAGTGTTCCAGTGAAAATTATCTCTCCTAGAGCCAAGGACAATATACTTAATATTTTTTAAAGAAAACCAAATCTATTACTGGCAATGACCATCAAATAAAGGTTCATATTCATTTTAAAAGGATACGGAAAAGATCTAGAACTATAGGCCATTCTGGACAAAGAAGATATCAAGAGTCTTCAAATTTTCTACACCACTAAGTAGCCACAGCTCCTGGTCGTGGAAGCACTAGATCAGTGAAATGTGGCATGAAAAGGAAATTCTAGTCACAGCTTCGCCGCGTACACTCTGTTACATGTCTTCTGGGGAGCATCACCTCATATATCTGCACTTTGGGCATTTTATCTGTAACACTGAAGTATCCACACAAAATAATACATCAGTGCTCTCCAGTTGCATGATGGACTCTGTGTTCCAAGGTTCTGATGCAGGTGAAGGACAATGCCATCTAAGGAAAGATCATTTTAAACGCCTGACTTCTGTTTGGTCGGTTGTCTGATTGCTTTTTCTTCTTGCTGTTTTTCACTTACCATCGAAAGAATTTATGAAACATTCTTTAAAGGACAACACTTGGGAAAGGATTAAAAAAAGAAAATGGAGCTATTTCCTAGAGTGGACAAGGGCCATTTCAGTGGCATGGTTTAATTAAGACGCCTTTTTCTACGGNTCCTTTCTTAACATGTGTATACATGTTTTTGGCACCCTCTGTATATGTACATATATTTGGTGTTTCACATACATGTGATTTAAACTATCTGGAGGAAAATTTTCAGTCGCTTAAAAATTTGGGTTCACAAAAAACATCGTACCCTCTGAAATACTCCGGCCACCTCAGCTGTCTGTGGGTAATGGTCGCTGAGCCAGGGAAAGCAGACAGGTGGAGAGAATGGAGTGCTCTCTATGCGGTGGACGCATGCTCACAGGTCCCAGCCAGGCTGCATGAGGCTGAGGTAAAAGCTTGAGTGTCAAAATAAAAAGGATGTTTTTAAAAAGAGATCCAGAAACATAAGAGTTCTAGTGTCTGCAGAATAAAATCATAAGTACATTTTTGTGTCCCTTAGAGAAAAACAATCAGCATCAACAAAAGGACGAAGAGCGTCAGAGGCTATAGTGACAAAGATTCTCTTTTTAACTCAATTCTAGCCAGGCTCCTCAGACCTCTCCTCTGCTAGGCCTCAATCTCATCCTGTAAACAGTTGAACGAACACTTAACTTCATTTCTAACATCCCTAAAATGGCCCTAGCCCCC